TTTATCGAATGCGCGCACGCGACACGCGTCAAGTGACATCATAATAGTTGTGCTGTCGAGGATTGAGCAATGGATTTCACTAGGCAATAATTGCTCTCATTCCAGTTCCAGAAGTACTTAAATTGGGAAAACAAAAGGAAAGTAAGGGGATCGTATAAGGGAATCACGAACATGGTGGGCAAGTGTTCTCTGGGAGGTTTGGAGATTCATGCTCCGGTTCTTATACACAGGAAACCTCACGATTCAACTTAACACCTTGACGACAGCGCGGCAACTATGTATGCCGCCATTTTGCACCTCATGGACATTGTGGCAACTATGTATGCCACACCCATTACATTTATTTTTTGCGCACATGCCCGATTTCTTCCCAAGTTTTTGTGTTCATTTTATAGGCCATACATCAACATAACCAAGAACCACGTGGCTTACAGAATGGACCAAATATTCTTTAGTTTGGCAGAGGTTTTTCCGGACCGGACGAAAATATCCGTTCAGTTCATTCCTCATTTTCTCTTCATTAACGCGAATGTAGATAAAAAGAATAATAGAAGTGAATACAAAACGTCGTGTGGCAAGATATGTGTTTTTACTGAAACAACACGTCCAAAGTAATTATTGAAACCACTAAAGCGAATTACTAAAGCGGGCAAAATCTGCCTTCTCATGGCCTTAACACGTCATTTTGGTCTAACTTCCATTACTGTAACTCCCGATAAGTTAGACAGATCGAACATTATTGAAAACACTTCATCGCATCTAAGTATTGCGTATTTACAGCTCAAAATCCATGGATTTGGTGTGCGGCGGCGGCGCTCGCAAAATCGCTCTGGTCCCACGCGGTGCAAAAACCCAAAACGCGCGATGTCGTCAACGTGTTAAGACCCAGGAAGAAAGTGGCTAGCTAGGGAGGTGTATTGAGAAGCCACTGGTGGGTGAGTCGTTTGTCGAGGTGGTGTCGGGGTTGGAAATATAATAGGAAATCCCCTTGCTCCTTTCTATATCAGAGCTCATAGTGGTGGGCATCATACTGCGCTTTTTGTTCCATACTATACATATGATAGAGCATCTATGTGGAGAATTATTCCATCAAAAACGATTCAGCAAAAATCGCGCAATTTTGCGACAACAAATAGATGTTTGGCAATTTTGTATAACTTTTGAAAGTATTCAAATACTGTGTAATAGTTACTTATAGTGTATAGTTTCTAGAGGCAGAAGTGGTGTAGTGGCAAGTGGCGCGCTTACCACGCGAGCGGTCCGGGGATCAAATCCTGGGTCGTGAGTCGCCCGGGCCAACCAAGCCTTCCATCCCTCCGGGGTCGGTTCAATTGGTATTAGTTGTAGGAGCAAACTGACTTGTACATCGGCTGGCCCACACAACTCATTGTGTAGGGCGAACCGCATTCAAATTGCCACTTTGATCTGGAATGGAAGTAGAAGTGCGCGGCGCATCCCAAAACGAGGCTGATCAACGCCGAATGCTTCATCCTCTCTTATCTTCATATTTTCTAGTAGTTATATTATAGCTATAGTTGTTTTTATACTGTACAATGTTTAGTTTTGGTGTGGTCAAAAGAAAGAAGCAGCAGCGATGCAGCAAGTGACAACCGACGAACACTCTCCCGAAATA